CACACACACACACACACACACACACACACACACACACACACACACACACACACACACACACACGATCTGGATTTATTTACAATATTTCTTTATACAAGTTAATAGATTCAATGAAATATTAATTTTGATACTGTCTTTATTTGTAAACTAATTTCATTTGATCTGGATTTAATTTGATATTCAGAAAATATTTTAAAATGACGGTAAAGGATAATATTAGTCTTCTAGAATAATTCCTGTTGTCACAAGAAAGTTATCCAGAGTTTAGTGTAAGATGCTAATGTTAGGCTTAGTCCTTCTAGACAGTGTTGAATCTATTAGTGTATAAATAGAATACCCGAATCTCTTGTATCGTGTGGTATACTTATTTGTAAAGCGTACAACTTCTCTCACAGTAGGTAAACACACAATACCGTGTAAAGTATGTTAGGTGTCGAACCTTGTTCCGTTATTGTAAAACTATACTTTATTTCTAGTTTATCTTAAGTTTTTGGTAATAATTCAGTAATAGACAATTCATTGGCAGGTTTTTCAAAGTGTCTGTCACTAACGTAATGTAACATTGCTTAATATTTAGGTAATCGTATCTTTTATCTAAAGATCTTGTGAAAAAAACTCGTTTTTGTAAATTATCCCTTGATCTGGTTAGTTATTGAAGTTTTGTGGGGTTGTAATAAAAAAACTGTTTTTCTGGATAACGTCCTATAATACGACGCTCTTCGTCAAGCATGTAGCGAGTAGTAATTGTGTATTGAAATTACAAACTGAAATAAGCAAAGTTGAATTCATACATGTTGATTAATGATCTTTTGTGTTAAATTTTCTTTTCCTTAGGCCTGATGTTTGTTGAAGCTAGTGCAAAGACGTAAGTCATGCCTTTACTTTTCCTGAGTGTGAACCTTTCAGTCATGTTGTGAGACAGACCCTGTTAGGGTTGGTGTGAACTTAAAATAGTACCATAATTTTCTTCTTATTTTTATAAATGTTTTTCAGATTTTTAGTGAAAACAACTTTGAATGTTATTGTTTCTGACAGATGTTTAAAATTTTTGTAATACAGAAATATCAACTTCTTTTTTTTGAGGCTAAAGTGTTATATTTGGCATATTCTCCATAATTACTTGAAAACATTTAACCCTTAAATATCCATGTGAGATTGATATGGACCCCAGACAAATATTAATGGCTCTCAATCTTTTAATTCTGTAAAGAAAAAAAAAATTATCACTTGTAAATTAAGAAATGGAAGATTAAAGTATTTTTCAAGATATTTTTTTCCTTTTTTTTTTGTAGTGTCTTGAACTAGTAAGGGAAATTAAGGGCATATAAAGATTATTCAAGTACTTAACGGTTAAATATGAAGTAATTTTTTTTATTGTTGTTGTAGACATTGTCTGTTAGTTTCAAAGATAGCTCTAATATTGAATATTTCTTTGTTTTGCAACTGTTCATGTTTTATGGATAGTTTTATGATAACAATTGAACAGGCTGATTGGTTTATTGATGTCATTAGTCCATTCATAAACGTGCAAGATTTAAAAAAGATATTTAAAATATATTTTTTATTTTTGTGGAGTTTGATATCTTGTCCCTTGTAAACCACTGAAATTTGAGGATTTATATTTATTGTATAGTGGGGAAAATGTGGAAGAAGCTTTCCTCGAAACAGCTAAAAAGATTTATCAGAATATTCAAGATGGAAGGTTAGTAGCTTTAATAATAGTAAATGAAGATCGTATAATTTTTTTGTTTTAACCATCTAACATAAGCATGCACTTTATAGTTCGTATTTGCTGTCCCAAGAACCCAGTCAACAACACGGTTTAAAGTCTCATCTGTCAGACTTCATTGCAATAACTTTTACATTAAATGATGTTTTAAGTCAATTTTTTCATCTCGTATAAGATATATTGGTGAACTATTATGATTGACTAAGATGCCATTCTTACATAAACAAGTTACAATAGAAATACATTCCAAGTTGAACAAACTTAGTTTGTTAAATATACAGCACAAAAGAGTTAAAGGATAATTTTTAATTTTATAAGTTTTTAGCTGTGAAAAGGTCAAACTACAGTTTAAAAAATACTTAACTCCTCCGTTCATTGTTATTAATGGAAATTATTTATTATTTATCTTGGGTTATATATGTATAATGTATACTGATCACCAAATGTTGTTTTGAATTGGAGAGTATAAAATGTGTTAAATTGTTTTTATGAACCATGGCTGGACTTTGGAGAAGACATTTGGAATGTTCTTTAATGCACAAAATTATCAAACCAATGGAAGCCAGTCAGTCACAGCAGGTTGTTTGAATTGGCTTCGTATATCTTAAACTGTTGTGAAAGCAGTTTGAAACTGATGGTACTGTTGTTCAGACACTTAGTTGTATATATCTTACTGTTGTGCATGTGCCCTCCTTATCTGTGTCCTTCAATACACCCTTGGAGGCCGTGGCCAGCTGTGTTTCCTTGTACCATCACTGTTTGTTCTCTCTACCTGTCTCCTGGGGAGACTTATGATCAATCGGACCTTGATGCTCTCGTTAACCAGTTGCCATCTCCCTTTTTACTTCTGGGAGACTTTAATGGACACAACCCCCTCTGGGGTGGTGCTGATATTGATGGGAGGGGTCGTTCCATAGAGCATATGCTCTCGGATCACAACCTTTCTCTCTTCAATACTGGAACATATACTTATTTTCATGCACCTAGTCAGTCTTTTACTGCCATTGAAAGGGAGGACAATAGCCTGGCGCCAAGCATCTGGAAAAATATGCTCCTGCCAGATCTGGTTAAAAATAACCAGAAGAATAGCAAGAGAGGCAGGAGAGAGATGGCGCAACATCTCATAATGACCATCATCAGGTCTGACCGATGAAAAGCAAGTTTGAGTTCCACCACCGTAAAGGGGCGATTATAATCATAGAGACGATCAGCCTGAAAGGAAAGAGATGATCACTCTGCCCGAGACTTTATGGCTAAGAAGGCAGGGGAAGAAACAGAAGTGCTAGAAACACGAGAAAAGCTTTGGCCGAGAGCATCAGCAATGCTCTGGACATCAGCAGCTTTCTGACCATTGGAGAGCAGGATGGAAAGGGGATGGGAAGCATACCTCCCAGTGACTTTCCGAATCTTGTCCCATACAGTTTTGGAACTGGTGGTAGAAGAGATGCTAGTAGTGAACTTTATCCAAGACTCCTTTTGGCTTTGACGTCAAACCTGCCAAGCATGGGCACGGGCCTGCTGATAAAAAATGTGGTTAGAAAGAGTAGGATACCATTGGAAGGTATCCCAGGCCCGTTTTTGAGCCTTCCGTGCCCCCTGGCAGGCAGGACTCCACCATGGACGAGGATACCATGGAAAACGTGTCGAGGTCTTAGAAATAGAATGAACAGCTGCCTGGACAATACAGTCAGTCACTGCCACCAACCACACAATCGTCTATTGATGGCAGACAGATGAAGGCATGATCAAGTTCAGAGAGAGAGAGGTGAAAGATGGCCAGTCAGCCTGATCCAGCTTCCACCATGGCACTCGGGTTGGGTGGTATCAACCATGGCCAACCTCTCCTACTGTTGACCATCCAAGAAAAGCGAGTGAAAAGTGCAGGGGGAGCAAATCGAGTATTCTCTAAACCTGGGAAGGATCCAAGATTCCTTCTAATTATCATCCCATTGCTTTGACTAGTTGTCTTTGTAAGGTTCTAGAGAGGATGGTTAATTCCAGGAACCAAACATGTTCCTCTCGCCCACCCAGTGTGGGTTCCGTCGACAGCGCTCCACCATGGGCTATCTGATTCGACTTGAAACGTTGATCAGGAAAGCCTTTCTCAAGAGAGAACACCTTGTTTCTGTGTTCTTTGATCTCGAGAAGGCTTATGACACTACGTGGAGGTACGGAATTTTGCAGTACCTGCACTCCTATGGGTTGCTTACCCATTTACCCATTTTTATCTGCAATTTTTTACTGAACAGGTGATTCCAAGTCCGTGTGGGTTCCATTCTTTCCCGTTCCTTCCCACAGGAACTTGGAGTCCCTCAGGGCTGTGTCTTGAGTGTCACACTTTATAGTGTTAAAATTAATGCTATCACTACAAATCTTTCTCCGACTGTTGCAAATGGGCTCTATGTCGACGACTTCAACATCTCGTGTCAGTCGTCGAACATGAGGTTTATTGAGCGGCAGCTGCAGACTGCCCTCAATCGGTCGTGGACATGGACCACTGCAAATGGTTTTAAATTCTCTTTTTCCAAAACCGTTTGCATGCATTTTTGCCGCCAACGGGGTCTCCACCCTGATCCCGAGCTCCGTCTCGGCTATGTAGTTATTCAAGTGGTCCCTGAGGCAAAGTTCTTGGGGCTTATCTTTGACCGTAAGCTTAGCTTCATTCCACACATCAAGCAGCTACGTGTCAAGTTTGCACGGGCTCTGAACATCCTCAATGTCCTCTCTTCCAGCTCTTGGGAAGTGGATCGATGTTCTATGCGCAGGATCTATCATGCTCTGATTCGATCCAAACTGGACTATGGGTCTTTGGTCTATGGTTCTGCCAGGACCTCGGCCCTGAAGATGCTGGACCCCATTCGCCATCTGGGGCTTTGGCTCTGCACCGGTGCTTTTCGCACTTCTCCAGTCCAGAGTTTGTACCTTCTCTTTACCTCCGTTGTTTGCAACTTTCTTTACAATATGCTACTAAGCTTCGATCCTTACCACGGCATCCCACCTGGGATTGTGTTTTTCTTCTTCAGTGGGCAATGCTCTTTCAGAACAGACGGTCTGCTATTCCTCCGTTTGGCCTTCGTATCCCCCACATTAATAGCTGAATTGAGTCTGGCATTGGATGACATTGCTGTCCTCAATGATCAGCCCATTCCACCATGGCTTATTACCATCCCATCCTGTCACCTTTCCTTGAGTCATCTGGGGAAGGCGGATACTCCCGATTGGAAGTACCGTCTTCTTTTTGCTGAACATCTTTGAGTCATTCTGCTCTTCCCATTTACACGGATGGTTCGAAATCGGATGACTCTGTAGGTTCTGCCATGGTTTGCTGTGGCTCGGTAGTTGCTCGTAGGATCCCCTCTACAGTTTCTGTGTTTACTGCCGAGTTGTATGCTATTTCTTTTGCCCTGGATCATGTAGAAGCTATGCAGTACAGTAATTGTACTATTTACACTGATTCTCTTAGCTCTCTTCTGGCC